AGGGGGGGGGTTCGGTGCGGAGCTCGTGGCTGCTGCAGCTGCCCGGCAGCCCCTCCCTCTGCCCGGCTGCTCCCTCAGCCGTGGTGCCAGCAGCCCAGGGCAGGCTCCGGCCCTGCAGCCAGACCTTCCTCGCCCCTTTCTGCTTGTGTCCAAACCTGGGAGGGCCCCAGTGACTCTGCAGCCCCTGCGGCCGGCAGTGACCGCTCTGCTCTCCTCTTCCTCCCAGGCTGCATCGCCGTGACCAGCGCGGAGGATGGCGGGGCAGAGACTACGCAGTACCTCATTCTGCAGGGCCCCGATGACGGTGAGGGCACGCCCTGGGCTGCCCGGCGGTGGCCGGCTCTGCCCCCGAGCCTTTTCTGCCAGCGTGGGGCCTGCAGCGGGTTTCCCTGCGTCAGCTGCAGCGCCGCCTGCACCAGAGTCCCTGCAGATGTGCTGACTGTTGGGAGCTTGTTACTGAGCTCCTGTTCAGCCCTGTGCCCCAGGAGTGGGTGCAGCCTGGATGGGGGTGAGGGTCTGCTCCTTGGCTGAGCGGGTTTCGGTGTTCCAGGTGCCCCCATGGTGTCCCAGATGGCCACTTCTGCTCTGGCCAATAGCTTGGCGATAGAAGCTGTTGCTGATGGGCCGACCTCCACGTGCCTTGACCAGCCTGGCCCTTCGGACCCTTCCGAGCGGCTGGAAGTGCTGGAGCTGCACGCGCAGCCGGATCAGGCCCAGGAGGCGGATGGTGGGGAGGAGCTGGACCAGCCGGACATGGAGACCCTGGAGGAGATGATGGAGGTGGTGGTGGTGCAGCAGTTCAAGTGCAAGATGTGTCAGTACAAGAGTGTCTCCAAGAAAACGCTCATTAACCACATGAAGGAGCGGCACTTCCAGCCAGGTGTGTGCTAACGGCTGAGGGAAATTTGTCTTGGTGTGGACGGGCTCTGCTCTCTCCAGGGAAGAAACAAAGGGAGGAGTATGAGCGCAAGGGCCTGCTCCGCCATACGGTCTGGTGAAGCGTTTTCCATCTGTTCTCTGTGGCAGTGGGCTCAGCTCTGGCTTTGAAAAAAGGACGTCCACGGAAGGGGGGATCCGCTCCAAAGACTGCGGAGGAGGAGGTCCCAGAAGAAGAAGAAGATGACGATATCATGGATGCCGGTGCTATCGATGACCCTGAAGGTAGGACCCGTCCTCTTCAGTTCCTAGGTAGTTTAGTCTTGTCGCAGTCTCTGTCTGACGTTTCGGGCCGCTTCCCTCCAGAGGACAGTGACTATAATCCAGCTGAGGATGAGCCCCGTGGGCGCCAGCCCAAGTACAGCCGCACTGTCCCCACGTCCAGCGAGACAGTGACTATAATCCAGCTGAGGATGAGCCCCGTGGGCGCCAGCCCAAGTACAGCCGCACCCACGTCCAGCGAGGAGAGGCCACGTCGACGGCCGGGGAGACCCCGCAAGTTTCCTCGTCTGGAGGACACGGCCCAGGACGTGCCTGAAGGTGAGGGAAGCCTAAGGCGGCGGCCCCAGGCTGGGCTGGAGCAGGCGGTGGTACCTGAGCTCCCGGGAGCCTGCAGGAAGGGCGCGTGACAGAGCTGTGCCGTGTTCCACGGAGCAGGAGGGGAGGTGGAGCCCTTGGTGACGTCCCAAAGCACGCCGAGCTGTGAGCTGCAGAACTCGGAAGCCGCCAGTTCCTCTGGCCTGGGGAACGGGAGCAGCGAGAGCCTGGTGGAGCCCAGCATCAGCCAGTCCGACTCGGAGAACAAGGACCCTTCCTCCAACACCGGCCCCGAGGAGTCAGACGTCCTTCCCAGGAGGCGAGGGCGGCCCTCCCGCCGCTTCCTGGGCAAGAAATACCGCAAGTACATGGGGCGCAGGTGAGGGGTGTGTGCCGAGCCGGCGCTGGGCCCTCTGGCCTGTGCCCAGGGCCGGTCCAGCCCCCGGTTGCCCCCGCAGCTCTGAGCCCCGCTCCTGTTCCCGCAGGTACTACTACAAGTCGCCCAAGCCCCTGATGAGGCCGTTCCTGTGTCGGATCTGCGGCTCGCGTTTCCTGACGCACGACGACCTGCGTTTCCACGTCAACTCACACGAGGCCAACGACCCGCAGCTCTTCAAGTGTCTGCAGTGCAGCTACCGCTCCCGGCGCTGGTCCTCCCTCAAGGTGAGCGCCGTCTGTCCTGCTCCCGCAGCCACCAGGGTGGCTGGTAGGCCCAGGTCTCAGGGCCCCCGCTCTGCTTCTCGCAGGAACACATGTTCAACCACGTGGGCAGCAAGCCCTACAAGTGCGAGGAGTGCAATTACACCAGCGTGTACAAGAAGGACGTCATCCGGCACTCCACGGTGCACAGCCGGGACAGGTGAGGGAAGCGCAGTCCTGACACTGTCTTGCAGCCTGGCTGGACGGCACTAACCCTGCTCCTCCTGCCCTGGGAGGGCAGCCGCGGCTGGCCCTTCCCCTGAGCTCTGGCCCTTTCCAAAACGGGTCGTTTTGGTGTCTGGGTGCAAGGGAGCTCGGACTTGGGATGCGGCTGACGCAGGGTGGCTTTCTTCTTTCTTTTTCAGGAAAAAGAGAGCTGATCCGGTGAGTCTGAGTACCCTGTTGGCTTGTCTCTCAGCACTGTTACGTGGGAAGAGGCATGTCTAGGTCCTCCACAAATTTCTTGGTGCCTCATTGAAGGCAGTGTTTCTGGATCACCTGAGGAAAGGCAGCCCAGGTCCTGCAGTGGGGAGAGGGTAAGGAAACTGGTGAGCCCCTCCCGGGCGAGCTCATCTTCGTGCTCTCCCTCCAGCCCCCAAAGCTGAACTCCTTCCCGTGCCCCGTATGCAACCGTATCTACCCCATGCAGAAGAGGCTTACTCAGCACATGAAGACACACAGCACGGAGAAACCACACATGTGTGACAAGGTGAGGGGGGACGTGGCCTGGGGAGGGGCTGGCGGCCCGCGAGGCCGGACAGGAGGCGAATGCTGCTTTGCTTTCCTTGGCTGCAGTGCGGGAAGTCCTTCAAGAAGCGCTACACCTTCAAGATGCACCTGCTGACGCACATCCAGGCCATCGCCAACCGCAGGTGGGAGCCCGGCAGCAGCCCGCGGCGTGCCCTGGCAGAGCCCGTGTCCCGGCTTCCCCTCGGAGGGGAGGACAGGAGGTCCCTGCCGCCGGTGTGACAGGCGGCTTTGTCCTGGCAGGTTCAAGTGCGAGTTCTGTGACTA